TCTATCAGCTTTTCTTACAAGAGCTTTCAGGACTTCTCTACAATGGACAGGAATTCTGGGGCTCAGAAGTAAGTGAAGTTGGCATCAGGGCTCTGTGGACGGTATCAGTGACCCTGGTTGATTCTAGTCCCCCAACAAGTGTGGGGTGTGTTGGCTTGTGCCTGAGTGCTGCCTGCTCTAACATAAAACACCATAGCCCTGCCTCCCTGGCCTCTGGGCTGTGCAGACACCCAGGCCCTCTCTGCCGCCCCGGGGCAGCTCTCAGGTCTCCTGCTTCCTCTGTCCCGAGAACTCCCCTGAGGGTGAGGGGCCTGGAAAGCTCTCCCCACCTGCAGCCAGGCCAGTGAGGGGCGAGGGGCAGGCAGTGCAGTGTAGGTGAGGGCTCCGGGTACCAGAGTGCACTCTCAGCCCCTTCAGCTCTCCCGCACGGAGGCTGTGTATGTGGAGGGGGAGTGGGTGGGATTGCCCATAGACTCCTAGGCCATGCTGAAGAGAAGGGCGGCCCCGGGCTGCTCCAGGGGAACCCAGAGGCCGGCCAGGCAGAGAGCTGCCACCACTAGCCACCCAAGGCTCAGGCCACCCTCCACAAGCAGCCTCTGGGGAGGGGTCACAAAAAAATCAAGGAGCTAGAGCACCTGCAGGTGAAATGGGAGGGCTGACCTGCTGGCCGGGGGGTTGAGGGGGACCCACACCGTCTACTGGCTACGGTGGCAGGTGGGGGGCGGGGCAGAGGGATGATAACCTGTGTGCACCATTGCCCTTCCCTGCTCTGCTCTTTGTCTCTCAACGCCTCCTATCTCTGGCTTCCAGGCAGCTTTGGCCATTGGGAGGGAGGTGCAGAAGACAGGAGACCAGAGAGGAGAGAGCGGCAATTCACGCCCACACTCGGCTCACCGTGGCATCTCTGCCAGCAGCCGTGTCCCCACCAAGGCTCCAGCTCCACGCTGTGAGCACCCTCTCTCTGCAGCAGCCTGCCGGGCAGCTCTAGCCCCTGGAGTCCCAGGACCCACCTTCCTCCTACCGCCCTTCCAGCCTCGGACTTGGCAACGTGTCCTGCTCTCACCAATCCCTGGGCTGCCTCAGCGTCCCCCCTCAGAGCAGCTTCTAGCCCCTGTTACCTGGACAGCACCTTGAGAAGCAAGGACCGAGGAGATTTTTATTTTCCTAAAACGACGTGCAGGCACGTGACTCCGGCCACAAAGATGAAACACACAGAAACACACAGACCTATTTGTGATCCAGGGAGGGAGAGGACACAATCAGATGATGATCACTATAAATGACACTACTAGTGAGTACTCCACAGGATGGACAGGAGGCTGTGAATAGCTGGGTCCTCAGGACGGCTTCGTTGACACCTTGATGAGGTGACGTTTGAGCTGAGACCCGGAGAAGGGGTGCAGGAAGGTTTCAGGAGCTATGCATGAGCAGAAGCTGGGTGACAGAGGGACTGGGTGTGTTCTGTGGACCGAGAGGAAGCCAGCCTGGCTGGAGCACGGTGAGGACTCCCTGGTGACTGAGCCCAGAAGCTCACGCACAAAGCTGGCCCCTCCTCGCCCAGCAAGAGGGTCTGCACCTGAACTCAACTCCCCATGTGATCAATTCCCCTTTCCCCATGGCCTGAATTCAGCTCCCAGGAGGGTCTTCAGGTGCCTGCAGCTGGCCTTCTCAGAAACTTTCCTGCTCAGCAGGCAGCCACACCCAGACTGCCTGGCACCTGAGCTTGGCTGCTTCTTTCCGAAAACAAGGCTGGTCTGGCGCGTGCATCAAAAAGGGGCATTAGCAGGGTGATGGCAGCCTGGTCCGCATGCACATACATCGAGGTGGTGGGGGATAGCATGCCCCTTCTTGCTGACCGTTGGTAGTTTAGCTTCCCCAACAAAATCTACTTCTTATTCCCCTGTACTGGGGGACATTGTGTTACTTTCCTTTACCTCCTCGCCAAACTGGGCCTCTGTCTATGTCTCAAGAGCAATGGAAGCTGCCAAAGGGTTAAGCATGGGGTTATCTGACTACATGTTTCCAAATGCCTTTAGGGCTGCAGTATGAAGAATGGGCCGTAAGGAGGGGGCAAGAGAAAGGGGGAGGCATGAAGAGAGGAGCCTTGTGCGGGGATGGTAGCTTGTTATCAGCTCGGGGGGGCTGGGGCCACTGAAGCCCCCAGAGCCAGAGTCTGGCCTTGAACATCCGCCTGCCCTCGGCTCCTGGACTGGGAGAAGAAGAGATGCCAGGCCTGCCTCCAAGGGGAGTGGGCACTAGCCAGGATGGGAACCGTGAGGGGTTGGAGGCCCCCTTCCCTGTTTGTCCCTGTGCTGATTCCTGGGTGGAGCGGGGCCCCTGAGACTGTTGACAGGGAGGCCAGGAAGCACATGAAGAGGTTGGGCCCTGCTCTGAGCCAGGCCTGGAGAGAGACCTGACGGGCAGAGTGGAGAGCAGAAGAGGGCCTCAGAGGTGAGAATGCAGCTGGGCACCTGCGAAGTCTGAGGAGAGTGACGGAAGGCCAAGGGCTCCCCCACCTCGGACCTGTGACTTATAACTAGGACAGCTGGGGCAGTGGTGCGCCCACAGGGGACAGTTAAACACTGTGTCCTTGGAGGCTGAGGCTGCCCGTGGAGCTCTCCTGACTCAGCCTCTCAGCCCTCCTGAGAGCTCCTGGTGCTAGCCACCTCACCTGCTTCTCTCCTAGTTATCAGGTTGGAGAGTGAGAAGAGGACATTGAATGCGACTTTGTGTCAGCTCAGAGCTGCTCCCAGCTCAGATCAGCAGGGAAAGCCTCATATTCAAAAGCCAGCAGTTGGTAAGTCCACACCGGGCGTTACAGGAAGAAACAAAGCCAGGGTCCAGCCTCAGCCAGCACCCAAGGTGAGCCTCTGTGAGCTAAGACCTGAAATGGAAGGTGTCAGGAGGAAGTGTGTCTGAGCCACGAGTTGGCGCCTGTTGGGAGGTGCAGTTTCTCTTTCCGAGTGTGGGTGCTCCCACCCCCTGGCCCAAATCTGGGGCTCAAGGAGAACTGTTTATAAAGACTGGGGCCTGTCCTGGGGCAAGAGTTGGTATATGTCTCCACTCCAGGGCTCCACCAATCTCTGCACTGTGTCTTAGGACACGCTCCCGAGTAGGACGTTCTGGAAGCCGAGTGGGCCCCCTGCAAAGACTGTTCAGCTGCCGTTCCCTCCAGCTCTGGGGCTCTTCCCCCCTGCTGCCTCTTCCAAGAGTGGATGGAGGTGCAGGCCTGGGGGCCCCCCCACCTCTGACATTCACTCATCTCAGCCAGGCCTGAGTTCCCAGCTTTGCATTTGGTGCTTTTCTTTTTTTTAAATCTTTATACTTCAGGATGCCTGGGTGGCTCAGTTGGTTAAGCAGCTGCCTTCGGCTCAGGTCATGGTCCTAGGGTCCTGGGATCGAGCCCCCCATCGGGCTCCTTGCTCGGCGGGGAGTCTGCTTCTCCCTCTCCTCTTGCTCGTGTGCTCTCTCTCACTATCTCTGTCTCAAATAAATAAATAAAATCTTAAAAAGAAATAAAAAAAGTTTAATTATCAAAAGGCAACAAACAAAAAAAAGCCTTGTGATCTGACCTCACCCTGATTGTGTAATATCACAGCACATCCTCTTAGCTTCTTCATCTGTGCAATGGGTGACCAGCCTTGGCTCTGTGGGGGTGGCTGTGAAGATGGGATGAGCTCATGCAGGCTGAACTGAGGGCCAGGCACCCCGTGGAGAGGGTGAAGCTGCCCCCTGGACAGCCGTGGGGGTTACTGAGGGCAGGAAAGGCTGTTCTTGATGAGCTCAGGGGAGAAAGAGAGCCTTGTCGGAGGGGAGGACAAAGCCTTCTGTCCAATGTTTAGGAGCCCAAGCACGGCAGTCTCCCCTGAAATACATACACACACATTCACACTGACACACGCTCTCATACTCATGCACACACACACACACACTTTCACACATGTGCGCCATCATCAGACCTTCTGTGGATAGACACCCAGGGACCTCTATCTGAGGGAACCCGCAGTACTGAGCAACTGGGCATGTGCGCTCCCAGCTCTGCTACTTAAAGGTGGGGACAGACCCCGTGGCTGTGAGTCGCCATAGCTGTGACATTCGTTCCTTTGTGCTTCACTGGACACAGCAGTCATCAGCTCCAAGAGTAGCTCCAGGCTAGGACCACGCAGGACGCAGGAACAGGCGGCCGGCAGACCAGGCAGGGTTGCTGAGGACGGAGGAAGGTTGGGAGGCCGGGCACCGCTAATATCCTGAGCTCCCTGTGTCCTGGACTTCTCGGTGGGCTCGAGAAAGGACTACCCAACCTCAGGATGAACCCTCCTTCGGGGCCCGGAGCCCAGGAGCCCAGTTCTGTGGCCACCCCAGCCTCACCCAGCAGGTGGGACAGCTCCTGGAGCAGCACGTCCAGCATGGGCCAAGCTCTGCCCAGCAGTCCCACGGTAAGCCTGGGGCCGGCATGTGCACACACAGAGCCTTCCCTCCCCCACCCTGGCCTCCATGACAGCAAGATAGAAGAAGTCTGAGCTCCTCTGTGGGACCTTGGGTATGTTACCGGACCTCTCTGGGCCTATCCTCCACAAAGAGGCCAATAGAGGAGAGTGTGGGCAATGTCCTTCCCCATGGAGAGCATCCAAGGAACAGAAAGGCCAGCCCTAAAGAACAAAGGGCTGCAATGGCCCAGACCTGCCCTTGGCTGCATCCATTCCTTTCTGAGGGTGGTTGGATACCCCACAGAGCCTTCCAGAGAGGAAGGCATACCAGAGGCCTCTGGATTGTCCAGACCAGAGTGAAGTGGTGGGTGCTTTCTGCTGCCTGTCATTCTGGCCAGGGCCCCAGAATCATACCCCAGCGAACCCACTATTAACTGGGGAGAACTGAGGGTACCCTGAAGACCCTGGGATGTTGGCCTACATCCTGGATAGGACGAGAAGCCTCCGTAGCTATAGGAGGCAAGACAGAGACTAAATTGCCCTCCTTCCCAGGAAAGGAGCAGGGCCAGAGGGTTCTTTAAAGCCCCTTGTGCTGGCCTCATGGGGTCATAACCTCCCTGAAGTGACTTTGGGGGACCTAAGCTTTCTTTTTTCTTTTTTAAGTTTATTTATTTAAGATTTATTTATTTTTTAGAGAGAGGGGGGAGGGGCAGACAGAGAGAGAAAGAGAATCTCAAGCAGACTCCATGCTGAGCATGAGCCTGACTCAACCCCACGAACCTGAGATCATGACCTGAACCAAAATCAAGAGTCGGACGTTTAACTGACTCAGCCACCCAGGTGTCCCTAAGTTTATTTTTTTTATTTAAGTAATCTCTACAACCAATGTGGGGCTCAAACTTGCGACCCCGAGATCGGGAGTCGCATATTCTTCC